AAACAGCTAAAGACTGAACATCCGGGCAACACCCAGCTCTCAAATCCATAAAACAAAACCCATATAAAAAACAGTACAGAATGGGTCATTTTAACCAAAACCCAAAACAAAACTTTACCCCTCAATCCAAACCCCTGCCTGAAAAAAGGGAAAAAAAAATTGTATTAGGGGGAGCAGATTACCCAACTTCGGGGTGAATAAAAAAGCCCGGAAAAACCCTATCAGAAATTCGGGGGAAAAAAAAAAGATAACGAAAAGCGAGATAAAATTAGCAAAATCGTGAACCCCAACTCCCACCCCCCCAGAAACAGCAACAGACCAATTTTTCTTCTCCCAAGCTCAATACCCCCCCAAAAATACTCCCTCACTGGCAACTCCCCCGAACACACGTTCCTAGCTCCACAAACCCATACAAAGTTTTCCCTTTATTTAACGCCTAAAAAAAAGGCAGGAGATTTAAATACCTTACCCCCCCTTTAATCAAAAGTGCCCAAAAGTGCATCCCCAATCTTGCAACATTTTTTTTAACAAATCCACTGAATCCCCCCCTTCCCACAGTTCTCAAAAGCAAGGGTCCCCGACCCATAAAGGGGGAGACCAAACAGAGTTAACAACATAGGCCAATACCAAATTTACACCCCTCTCAAAAATCTTTAAAAAATTAATTCTAAACGAACACTCCTCCCTCATCCCCAAAACATACTCAATTTGATTCAGGCTAAAAAAAATACTAATGAGCATTATCCGGCTAGAACATATATACCTGCAATGGAAAAAAAAAGAATCCCACTGGGGACTTCTTTGACTTATGTAAAGCTTTTACTACAGTTGACCAGACTTGCTCCACAAAAAAATTGTCACCTATGGAAAAAGGGGGCACTCCCTCAACTACTCAATTCATACCTCAGCAACAAACCAAATTTTACGCAAATGGGGCAAATCTTCCGCACCCCCAAATTTACAGTTGGGTGTCCTACGGGGAATGCCCTTTGGGGCCCTTTCTCTTTCCCTATACATAAAGACCTACCAAATTTTCGAAATTACTCAAACCCACACTTTTTGCAGATGACACTTATACGCTTCTCTCCCTGACCCGTATACTACCCAAATCTGTAAAAAAACCGAATTAGGGAAAATATCTACCGGGTAGGCTAACAAACTTACACTAAACTTGACAAAACCTACTTCATTCATTTTTTAAAACAAGCTACAGAGCCCTCTTAACAAATGATAAAAGGATCACCCTTTACAAAGTAACAGAGGGAAAATTTTAGAATCCACCTTTATAACAGACTCAAATTTCTACACATTACAACAAATTTCTAAAAAATTTCCAAGACCCTGGCATACATCGGATACGGTACTTGTTCCCAGTCAGCCCCCCTGGCCCTTATCCTTCTTTTTTTACCCCACTCCCAAAACCCATGGAATTTTTTGCATGGGGCCCAAAAACCATTAACCATCTCAGACCACTAATTACCCCAAAAAAACTGCAGTCAGAATGATAACAAATTCCCACTACGCAGCACACCCACCCAAAATTCAAAACACTAAACCATACAAAACCCCTACAAAAATCCAACTTTTTCTGCACCTATTTCATACAAAAACATTAAACCCGAGATTAACCCTCCCCTCAAACATCTCCCCGCCAAACCCCAACAAACACTGCCATAACAAAAAAGGGACGGATCACTCTTTGATGTTCCTTGTGTCCATCTCAGCTAGCAAAAAAACAATGCACATAAAAAAAGGGCCCAAAACTGGAATTCAATTTCCTGTAAAATAAAAGAAACATACCTGTTTATAAAATTTAAATCTCTTCTCAAAATCACTTTCTCCCCAAAACCAAATAAATACTGAATAACTGAACCTATAAATTGTATATCTAAATTTTTCTCAAAAATTAATCACATAAATGTTAAACCTAAACCCCAACAACTTGTTTTTTTAAATACCTACCACAGAAAACCCATTTAAAAGAATGTACAGTAATGCATGCAACCATATACCCGTCTTTGGAATACTATTTGTGCTTTATTGTTTCGTTTTCAAAATGTTTTTTCACTGATTACTCATTCTTTTGTTTTCCTAAGTATAATTTTAAGTCAGCCCATAATGCAATGCATACAAGTGGCTTTGGCATGCTGCTCTTACCTGTATTTTTTTGTACCTCTGTATGTTCAAATTATAAAATAAATAAATAAATAAATAAATAAATAAATATGGTCATTACCTAATAGAATACTCCATTCATGAGAATGGAGTACAGTGGACCCCCGCATACCGTTGGCATCACATAACGTTAAATCCGCATACCGATACATTTTATCGCTAAGATTTTGCCTCGCATACCGCTAAAAACCCGCTCAACACTATTCGTCCGAGACGCGTCTATGTGAGGCCTGAGCCAGCCTCACATGTTCCACCGGTGGCATTGTTTACCAGCCAGCCTCCGCGGTAACATCCAAGCATACAATCGGAACATTTCGTATTATTACAGCGCTTTTGGTGATTTTATTTGCAAAATAAGTGACCATGGGCCCCAAGAAAGCTTCTAGTGCCAACCCTGTGGTAAAAAGGGTGAGAAATATTATCAAAATACTGTGGTACCATGGTCAACTGCTGATGCTGCTGCTGCTGTAGCATTGTCAGCTGCTGCTGCTGCTGTAGCACCGTCAGCTGCTGCTGCTGCTGTACCACCGTCAGCTGCTGCTGCTGCTGTAGTACCGTCTGCTGGTGCTGTAGCACCGTCTGCTGCTGCTGTAGCACTGTCAGCTGCTGCTGCTGCTGTAGCACCATCAGCTGCTGCTGCTGCTGTACCACCGTCAGCTGCTGCTGCTGCTGTAGTACCGTCTGCTGCTGCTGTAGCACCGTCTGCTGCTGCTGTAGCACTGTCAGCTGCTGCTGTAGCACTGTCAGCTGCTGCTGCTGCTGCTGTAGCACTGTCAGCTGCTGCTGCTGCTGCTGTAGCACTGTCAGCTGCTGCTGCTGCTGCTGTAGCACCGTTGTTGGTGTGGCTTATTGAGAATACCAAGAAACAATTAACCCCAGAGGGTTAGCCACCCAGGATAACCCAAAAAAGTCAGTGTCATCGAAGACTGTAACTTATTTCCATTGGGGTCCTTAATCTTGTCTCCCAGGATGCAACCCACACCAGTCGACTAACACCCAGGTGAACAGGTAAAAATGCCTGGAACTAGTGCTCATATTGGTGAATTTAAAGCCAGCAAAGGTTGGTTTGAGAGATTTAAGAATCGTAGTGGCATACACAGTGTGATAGGCTGTTCTGGAAGAAAATGCCAAACAGGACCTACAGTACTCAGGAGGAAAAGGCACTCCAGGACACAGTGTCTCATCAGTCATTGCTGCATCTTCAATAAAGGTAAGTGTCATTTATTCTTCATTTAGTAGAGTAGTACATGCACAATATATATTTTGCATGTACTACTCTACTATTGTGCATGTATCCTTCTCTTTGTGTGTAGGAAAATGTATATTTCATGTGGTAAAAAAATTTTTTCATACTTTTGGGTGTCTTGCACGGATTAATTTGATTTCCATTATTTCTTATGGGGAAAATTCATTCGCATAATGATAATTTCGCATAACAATGAGATCTCAGGAACGGATTAATATCGTTATGTGGGGGTCCACTGTATTCTATTAGGTAATGTAATTAAAAAAAAAAAGTTTGATAGGGTCACAGGTTATACATTTATGAGATTCAGTTATTCAGTATTTATTTAGTTGTGGTTGAGTAAGTGGTTTTTACAAGAGTCTTGAATAGATAAACAGACAGTGTTTCTTTTATACTGTATTCACAGGTAATGAATTCCAGATTTTTGGGCCTTTTATGTGAATTGAGTTTTTATATAGTGTGAGATGGACATGGGGGAACATCAAAGACTGATCTGTGCCTTGTGTTATGGTCATGTGTTCTGTTGAGGTTGGTAAGGAGAAGTTTGAGGGGAGGGTTTATATCTGAGTTGAGTGTTCTATGTATGTAGTAGGCACAAAAATAAGTATGGATGTTTTGTATGGTGAGTAAGTTTAGAGTTTTGAATATTGGTGGAGTATGCTGCCTGGAGTGGGAATTTGTTATCATTCTGACTGCTGCCTTTTATTGGGTAATTAATGGTCTAGCCACCTCCCCCTCAACCACCAACCAAGGCGACTCAACAACAACACCAACCGTGACTGACTCCCTCTCTACATCTACCTTCATAGGATTTAACCCATCTGATATGCTCCCAGGTATGACTAATGATCCAGACACTCTAAAGAATTACATCACCACCCTAAGGGCGGATAACTTGAATCTTCATGCTGAAAATATGTCTCTTCGCGCAACAATAACATACCATGAATCTAAGTTACTTCGCCATGATGCCTTGAGAATAAGATCAACAGCCTTGAACAACAGCTAACATCAACTGGCATGACTGATTTTGGCAAGACCCTCCAATCAGTCATAGCCAGTCAC